TCAGAAATTTACAGCAGGTATCAGTGAAACTTGGCAGGTTGATGAACAAGTGTCTTCCGAGTATGCACGTAATTTTTTTCCAGATCTAAAAATCCCAAGTGGGTCTTTTTCACGATTTTTATCAAAAATTACCTCTCCCGGCAACATTGACAGAACGTCTGTGCATGCTCAGAATAAATTAATTACTGTAAAATACTTTATTTTTGCTTGCAACATTTTTTTGCTATATTCGCTGAAGGAATGTTTCAGTTAAAATAAAATCCAGCGAATATTCCCTTTTTCCTATATTTTACAGTCAAACTTGTCAAAAATCAATGAAAATAAATTCAATACAAAAACAGCCAGAAAGTCTTTTCAGCGAATGATAATTCCAGCTGAAATAAAATATTTTGCAGTAGATTAGATCTGTGAGTAACGCTACAGCACGTGATTTCTCCATTGCGTGCAATTTATTATAGTACTGTTTATACATGTATTCTGTTCGGCTCAGTGGTCTCATTCACTAGTTACTAGAAGAACTAGTAACCTTATTTGATTTCAAGAACTTCAAGAAGGCGGCATAAGAGACGTGTTTGCAAAGGTAAGTTCTCCAGTTTCTACAAAATTGAATGTATTTTGGGGTACGATTGGTGTACATTCCGTGACGTACGTACGGACGTGAATATTATGATGATTGCCAGCTTTATATTCTTGTGAAAAGCCAAAAAAGCAAACAATTGTCTCCAATCTACGAAACTAGTTTGTAAATTGTATACCCTGTCAAATTATTGTACACGGACGATTAATTCATGGGGACATAGTTTCAAGTTAGTAAATCGTTATCCGGTCTTTTGCTTGTGACGCGATTTCTGAAATATCCACAACTCGGGGCGGGGGGGGGGGGGGGGAATGTCCCTGTGTCGATCAATTTATTCATTATATAATAGTAGGTTGCATATGATTATATTCGTATTTTTATGTTGTGAGCATTAAACTGTTAGTTGTAATGAAGATTTTGCCGATCTCGTACGATTCAACAAGGCCGATGTGCAGTGACAACACGTGTATGGACGTTCGGTCGAGTAGTCTGCAACGGACCATGAAATCGCCCGGCGTTTTTTCGGCATTTTTTTTTAGTTTTTTTTTAAATATTTTAGATATTTCATTCACTCCTGGCGCCTAAAAGAGTCTACTTTATATTTTACCATAGTCATTGACACCTATTGTGAATAGCCTGAATGGGTAAGCTTCGTTTCGACAATGAGCTGTTATTTCTGCGAACAATGTTAAATTATTCTTTGAATGCTCAGTTTATATTTTGAAAACAACAAATTTTTTGATTAAAAAAAAATCATGCCGTTTTCCCTGTCAAAATCAAAGCATAAAGATCTTGCCAGAACATCGGTAAATCTACTACCGCGTTGCGTTCACCACGAGGTCACTGAACCGTCATTAACATATTTAAATGAGCCACGTGTAAATGAGAACAAGGCGGATATCTATCACTTCGCGCATTTACATTCGACCGAAATCATTCGTTTACGATGAAACTAAGTTGAATATTACTTCCAATTTATAAAAATTCAACAAATTAAATTTTTGTGCGTTATTATAATCATTACTGAATAATAATCAACAATTGCAATACTTCGAAAACAAGCAAGTTATTCACTTGTAAAACACAGAATAACCAGATTGTGCTACCGTGATCATTCGCTACCGGTACTAACCACTAAGCAATGTATTCGTGTTTGTATTTATTCGAAACTTCTTTTAGAACATACTTTACTTTTCGTTATCAACAAGATTATAAAAAAAATAATGGATGTTACAGTATGTGAATTTTTTGGGGGGATTCAATTCCAACATTTCGCGATGCCTATGAGAACCAAAGGCCTTTCACTCTTCTCTGAGTGTGACACCTAAACCAGAGGTTTTATGGTGTATAAATTGGCACTAAATGAAAAGGCCGTTGAACCTTATTCAAATTTATAAATACATGTTATTATGTATTTCATTATGAAAACTGACTAAATTAAATGTGATCTTATTTTTAATTATGATTATGATTTATATCGGTAATGACGTTTTCATCCAATATTAATTGTGCAATTGTTAAAATGCCTACCTACACATTTATTGTTTTTGTTTCTGTTGCCCTGAAATAGACATTTGTAAAAAAAAAAAAAAAAAAAAAATTTAAAAAAAATCATGCTTGATTAAAATTAAAAAAAAAAAAGATGTAGCCATGTAGCCCTTTCCTGTTATCTGTTTCCAACTTCTTCCAAAGTAAAACTGGCAAAGGCATGTAATTGCCATACAATCATCATTTGTGGAAAAACTTGTATGTTATTGAAAATCTTTATTTTGTTGTCTGTGAATTAATATAATATTTGAAATGGCGTAATGGATCAAAATATTCTCAAACAATCGGTCTTCTGGTGGCACTACACTGCGCATTTATGCACAGTCAGTATCCCAATGCGCGATCTCAGCTTACTAAGTGATGATGGTGGTTGAAATGGAAAACTGAATACAAAAATCCAGGAACATCTCAAACGAATTTCCGTCTGCTGTGAATGCATGTTTCGTTGCATCAAATAAATAACCCAATTTTATGACAGAAGCTTGCGATCTTGTGCCATACAGGGTCAAGTGATTGAGCAATAAAAAATGTGGTTTTATGTATCAGGTTATTGAATGTATCCAAAAACATGGTACCAATGATCTGAAATTTCAGGAGTGCTCGCTGAAGGTTTATCAATCTTGCGTATTGTCTTGTTCTTTTTCAATCCTGCATTTCAGTTACTAGAATTTATACTAAAAAAAAATAGTTTCTGTTTTTCTTCTAATAACTCGGCCACTCTCAAAATAAATATTTTTCCATGGTCGAAATGCAAGAAGAATACAAAACTACTGTGATTGCATAGCGATACCTGTAGGGCCATTGTCAATTAGTTTGCCTGATCAACACAGCGTTATACATAGGGCTGTTATTGAATCACGGAGAGTAAAATCTTGTGATACTAATGTCTAGAACCACTCAGATTGGTACATATGTCTTATGAACCCACATCTTGGACAATACTCATTTTAAACTTTTTTTTTTTTTTTACAGTGGTGCTGTGAACTGCTTCAATTTCGCAAGGCAATTTTTTCTGGGTTTCTACAACATGGAGTGTCAGGGACTTTATTGAAATGTTGTACACAAATTTCATAAAATCCTGAATATATCTAGAAGTGAAAATTAAATGGTTTACAGTATTTTATACCCATTAATAATGATTGAAATGCAATAATATCACTGCACTAAAAAGAATTCGAACAATTATTGTTACTTCTCCATTGAAGGTTATGAGCAGACCAACCTTTATCACTACTGGCTTTCTTAATTATTACCGTAAAATCTGTATTAGAAGCCGCATCCCTAATAGAAGTCGCATCTATACTATTTGAATAATTGAGAACTAAAAATTCATCATTTCTCATATGTGTAGATGCTCTAATAGAAGCCGCATCCCCTCTGTTGCATTGTACCATTTTAATAGAAGCCGCGGCTTCTAATACAGATTTTACAGTACATGTACTTGTTCTGAAAACATAGCTTTTACAATTGTTTAAATTAACAGATGTTGTTCTATGTACAATGAATACATTTTATATAATAAACCTTACTGTATTAATAACAAATTGTATTTGACAACATGAGAATGATTCTGATGCCCAGTGGTGATGTTGAAACAAACCCAGGTCTTGGTAATATACTAAGACCTGATTAACAAAGAAGTCATGTACATCATGGTTCACTCAGATTTATGAATGCAGTTTCTTGAGCAAGTATACATGTATGACAAATAGTTTTGTTGCACTTGTGTACTCTGAGATTCTGAACATGGATCAGTGGAAGTTTTTAGTTGTCAGTACAAAACTAGATTATGGGAAATCATTTTATGATGAGTTGTACCCACAAAAAGTACATATTTATTCACCTGTTTGCAGATGTTCCTTGTACTACCTGTATTTTATAATCAAGTAACGGGGACTGTGACATTTCATGTCTTGTTTAATGTCTTTTTGTGTTTCATCGAAAAATACCAATAGGCTCCAACAAAATGATTCATCATTATAATAATAATTTTTCTAATATTTTAACAGAAATTTCAGAATGTAAAACAACCAAGAATTGGCATATTGAACTTTTTAGATAAAAACTCACCTGAAAACAGAACTGAAGTTTGGAAGTCATTCAATACATGGTGAGTGGTTTGACCCTATACCCTCATGTCAGCCCACTATTTGACACTATACCCTCATGTCAGCCCACTATTTGACCCTATACCTTCATGTCAGCCCACTATTTGACCCTATACCCTCATGTCAGCCCACTATTTGACCCTAATACCCTCATGTCAGCCCACTATTTGACCCTATACCCTCGTGTCAGCCCACTATTTGACCCTATACCCTTGTGTCAGCCCACTATTTGACCCTATACCCGTGTGTCAGCCCACTATTTGACCCTATACCCGTGTGTCAGCCCACTATTTGACCCTATACCCTCATGTCAGCCCACTATTTGACCCTATACCCTTGTGTCAGCCCACTATTTGACCCTATACCCTCGTGTCAGCCCACTATTTGACCCTATACCCTCGTGTCAGC